GATGTATAAAGTGTTCACAACTTAATTAATAAATGAATTACAAACTATTCGTAAACCCTTTTATAAGGGGAGTCTTATTGTAAAGTGGTCTCAAGATGTGTATGCATGAGCAGGATTTTGAAATCACTTTTAGCTTGTCAATCATAGTACCATTACAATTACTCTGCAAGTATGATTGTGAGACTGACCGTTGAGCGGCCCGACCAAGCAAGGAGGCAGAACGTCCAAAAATATAACCCGACGTGGGCATTTATTAAAATAATGTGCACAAAGTTCACAGCCTCAATCCTGCTGTTGTCCGTGAACACATCCTGCAGCCACAAAGATCTCACACACACTATCAGCCTCCACACAGACAGGGAAAACAGAGCCTAAATACCTATACACTAATTAGCACAACAAGACACAGGTGGGGGGGGAGCAGTTAGACACAGGTGAGGGGGGAGGAGACAACACAGGGCACCAGGTGCACACAATCAGCAACAACATACATGGGGAACAGGGAAGTTGTCGTCAATACACCCCACACAGTACAATGATTATATCCACATGTCCACGTGAGCCCTAGTAACGGCGTCTCGTCGTTACAATGATGCAGAGATGTAAAACCTTGCACAATTATCTTGTGTCCGGTCGTTAGTCCTCCAAAGAAAACATGAATTTCAACTTTACAACTCCGTACTCATTTGCCAGCAAGTGTGGTAGATGTTTTGTAGATTACAGGATTACAGGATTGTACTTTTTGTTCAATCTGTAGTTCAAACAACTGACCTAGAACTGGCAAAAACCAGACTTTATCTGGTGGAAAGGCTGTGAACTGTCTGTGAACTCAAACATTATGTTGATACAAAGACTCTTGATAATCTTCAGAGTTTCCCTTTTTAATAGATTGTTCAAACATGAGTTTATGGTTTTCACATTGTCTTACAAGAGCTTTGCCCACACACACACACACACACACACACACATGAAACAATGTGCCCTTGTATAAATTAACAAGTGTCAAAAAGTATTTAGTGAAGCATGTAGAAGTTTTCTTTCTCATTTAATATGCACTTTCCTTCCTTAAAATGTGTTCTGCCAGTATTTGAACCTCAACCTTACGTTTAAAATCCTTCATTGTTTCGTTTTGCAGAGGGTGAAGTGATCAAACTCGAGACGCTAATGCAAACGGAGGTTACCGTGGTTACCACAGGCGAAGCAGTGGGTGCGGATGCTGCCATGACTCCCCAGTCTATGCGCCGCCGCAAACGCACATGCACTCGACGGCAAGGCGAGAAGGACCGGGAAAGGAAGGAGGAGGCAGTGGGCGGAGGAGACCGAGGGGACGAGANTCTGTGAACTCAAACATTATGTTGATACAAAGACTCTTGATAATCTTCAGAGTTTCCCTTTTTAATAGATTGTTCAAACATGAGTTTATGGTTTTCACATTGTCTTACAAGAGCTTTGCCCACACACACACACACACACACACACACACACACACACACACACAACACACACACAACACACACACAACACACACACAACACACACACAACACACACAGACACAGACACACACACACACACACAAACTTAAACTATTACATGAATAAGTCAACAATGTGCCCTTGTATAAATTAACAAGTGTCAAAAAGTATTTAGTGAAGCATGTAGAAGTTTTCTTTCTCATTTAGTATGCACTTTCCTTCCTTAAAATGTGTTCTGCCAGTATTTGAACCTCAACCTTACGTTTAAAATCCTTCATTGTTTCGTTTTGCAGAGGGTGAAGTGATCAAACTCGAGACGCTAATGCAAACGGAGGTTACCGTGGTTACCACAGGCGAAGCAGTGGGTGCGGATGCTGCCATGACTCCCCAGTCTATGCGCCGCCGCAAACGCACATGCACTCGACGGCAAGGCGAGAAGGACCGGGAAAGGGAAGGAGGAGGCATGGGCGGAGGAGACCGAGGGGACAGAGGAGTCGGGGAGGACCGGGACCGGAGAGAAGCCAGTAAGTCCAGGGAAACAGTCCATGAAAAGCTTTGGGTCAGCGCTTGGAATTTAAATCATTGCCACCAACAATGAAGCTCGTGCCAAAAGCCTCAATCTATTTTCGGTGCAATACTGCCATCTAGTGGTTTGTTTTAGATTCTGCACAGAAACAGAAACTATTGCCTTCAAAAAGAGACTCAAGCAACATCATTTATTTGCAGCTCTTGTGTCTTCATCACAGTCGACCTAGACTACGGCTGTCTCTGGATAACCGATTGAACATGATTTCATATTTGGATAATTAATTTAAGGGTGGAAGTGACGGCAGTACAAAGTCTTGATTTAAAAAAAAAATGTTAGCTGTTTTTTTAAGGTGAGGAATATGCGTGAATTTGAGTACACTCATTGAAGAATGCTTGTTTTTCATCACAATCCGCTGTTTTCTACTAAATGTACCAAAGGTTCCAAGTCTCAAACCAGAGGTCTTGCTAAGCAGCATTAAATAATCATGATCAAAACATTCAAAGTTATTAGGAACAGCTAGTAAAGAACGAAATGGCATCATACATGTATTGCTGTTGATATACCGTACAGTGTACAAAGGAATTCTGCATTCATTTCATTTCTAGATGTGATGATGATGATGATAAAGGCTTTGAGAATCTAGATAGTTCTAGTTTAGGTACTGTACCTTATGTAAATCCTTAAGGAGAATATAATGGACAACATTTTGGAATTGGGGTAACTTGTGGAATTTACAAATGATACATTTTTACCTTTTTTTCATTTTATATTGATTTATTAAGACTTAATTATCACAATGATCATCACAATGCTCAGTGAAAATATTTCTTGTCATTTGTCTATTTTTTCAGGTGGTCCGTTTATTAAACTAGGAGAGCGCTCGCGTGGTGGAGGACCCAACAGTATATCAACCATCCTCCTCATCGTGAGCTTCATGTAAGTTCAAGCGTGTGTGTGTGCTGTGTGTAGTGTGTGTAGTGTGTGTGCTGTGTGTACTGTGTGTAGTGTGTGCTGCGTGTGTACTGTGTGTGTGTGTGTGTGCTGTGTGTAGTGTGTGTACTGTGTGTAGTGTGTGTACTGTGTGTAGTGTGTGTGACTGTGTGTAGTGTGTGTAGTGTGTGTACTGTGTGTACTGTGTGTAGTGTGTGTACTGTGTGTAGTGTGTGTGCTGTGTTTACTGTGTGTAGTGTGTGTGCTCTGTGTACTGTGTGTGTTTGTGGCATTGAATGAATACTGGCAGCCTTTTCTGGNGTGAGTTATCTTACACACAATGACCTACTTTAAACAGAGCAGAGCATTCATAAATAAAGATGATGTTATTAGACCCTCCAGAAAAACGCGGGCTAAAATCCTTGATTATGCGATTAAACATGCGGGGTTTTTATGTGATTTTATGCGGTAAAAATGCGGGAAGTTGCGAAATATGCGGAAATATGCTAAATATGCGGGGGGAAAAGAATAAAAAAAAAATTAAATATTGGGCTGTCTTATTTATTCTCTCTCACACACAACCTGCCACTAACATTAAACCCCTGTACTATTCAATTAAACACATTCAATGTTTATTTATTGTAAAAGCAATTGGGCTATTTTAATCACACACACACACACACACACACACACACACTTCTCCGCCTCATTCTGTTTTCATTTACTCGTTC